TGACCAAATCCGTGGATGCCCGGTGCAATTCCAGAGTGCTGTGAGCCACCTCAGGTTATGAAACGTGTCCGCGTAGTGGACGTCGCGTCTTTGGGACTTCTTCAGCTAAATCACATTGTTTCACGTGTGCTGCTTTCCAAACAAAACATATTAATTTAAACTGAAGCACATTTTTAATATTTGTACCACGAATAAACTTTGAACCTTACAGCTGGTTTCTGCTATGAAATGGGAATAATACTTTCCTCATAGGGTTTAAAACTAAATGAATACCTGGATGGTGCTTTGAAGATGCTCCAAAGTGTGGGGGTTTTTAAACCAAGAAACTACCGGGCATCTGATCAAGAAGGAAATGAGGGAGAGACAGAGATTAGAGGAGAATCTTTATTAACTGAGATGGGGTAAGAAAACAAACTGGGAAATTGGCAGTTTTGCTTGATCTTAACAAAGCAGTTAGAGCAGGGAAGAAAATAATCAGAGCCCAGTGGGCCTGTCACTTGGTGGAGTGTCTCATACATCTCTTTCTCCACTCACATCCAGGGGAGCTTCCAGCTGCTGTGTTTTCTCAGCTGCACACAAGGCTGAGTGTGGGAGCCCTGCTAGAAGCGCTTGTGAATGCACTGCCTTGGGCTGGAGCCACTTTGCTGAACCTTCTTCTAGACCTTCAGACGAGTGACCTCTCTTCTGCCGTCTCCCATCACTTTTCCCTCTCTGAAATGTATTTGTGGGTGCGACTCGGTCTGTGGCATCGTATGCTATCAAGTGCCTAAAACCAAACCCAAACCTGTCCTGGGAGTTACCTGAAGAATCAGTTTGTACTCTGGTTTGTCTGTCAGTAAAAGGCTACTTAGTGCAGTCTCCTTGCATTCTCTAAGGATGTTTCTTTCCATAATTAGTAGTTAAGCATTGATAGACAGGTTTTGGTTGAACCTCTTGGCAGACCTTCACTAACCTGCTGTGTAACAGCTATTCCTCCAGCTGTTTTGGAGCTACAGTTGATCTGACCTGGGCATGTTTTGAAAGGTACTGCCCTTCTTGTGGTCTCCTATGACATTAAGTTGTGTTTTCCAGTAAGGAGTCATCTACAGGTCATGGATTTGGGTGTTTCCTGAACAGAACAGTAGAACTCTACTGTTGCTGTCCCTTTCCCTTCCACTGAAAGCAGGCTGAACCAGCTGGGGCTGCGAGTGCTGCTCTGTGCTCACTGCCTCAGTCTTCCCTTACAGGGGTGTTCTAGGACATCTCAGAAATGGCTGCATGCAGTTTTGAATAACTGGAAATGGAAAATTGAGGGAGATGTCCTGAACATGAACAGCTCACAACAAAGGAAATAATGGGTGCTTCACTTGGCACATCTGGAGTTGGTTACAGGCAGATGGTGTTTTCCTATAGGTCTTTGAAACAACAGTGAACTTGGAGGTAGGGGAGAAGGGAAGGAAGGAAGCAAACTTCTAAACTTTACGCTGTTTGGTGATTCTGGTCATTGTGAATGTAGGAGCTTTGGTTTATCCAGAACATGGAACTATTATTTGCTGGTTCTTAATCAGATGTCACCATGTTTCTAAAATGGTTTTCTCCATATCGTTGTATGACTCAGCTTTGTAAGGCTGTAAAGAAAATGCTGTAGTACTGACAGTTTCCAAGCTAAGCCCGCGGTTTTACAGCCTAGACAGAGCATGACTCCATACGAGTAAGTCTGACTCCATAGCCTAAGTTCTGCCTAACTGAGGAAGATGTGTGGCCAGTTCAAAACCTGGTGCTTTTAAGACTAGAATATTTTTTATTTCTTTTTTTTTTAGTTTGCATTTACATTACATGTAGTACCCTAAGTGCACTGCATGCAGGTCATGAAAATCTGCTTGTTAAAAAGAAGTTTGCACTGCACATGGTGATTTGACATTCAGGTTTCAGGGCTGTGAATAAACCTTTTGATATCGGTGATTATGGGCATTTTGCAGGTTCAGTGATGACACCCATGAGTCAGGTTCTTTTTTAAACTGAGCCAAAGCTTTGGAAAGGGGCAGAGCATGGGATCCTTCAGGAAGCTTCTCTTTGAAGTGCTCCAGGCCCAGCACAAGGCTCACACAAGCTGGTGAAAAGGCGCACGGCGGCTGCATGTACTGATCTAGAGAACTGGCATCGTGTGGAGATGAGAGGGTTTGTTTCTTGTAAAAGGCCGATGTACAGCTGATCGCGTTAGCAAACTTGTGAGATACGTTTAGTGTTGAATTTTTGTTTCTTTTCTTGAAATGGGGAGAAGGCACAGAAGTGGGAATGAGGTAGACACTGCCCATTTCTCAGCCTCGTGTCCGCCTTCCTCCTGTGGTGCCCCTCTGCAGCCTGGCTCCATGACAGACGGCTTGGACCTCTTCGTTTCTCTCTCTCCTGCTCTCAGAAGACTGCTCTTAGCTGGTGTGGCACAGCCCTAACCTGGGCCCTTGGTTTAAGTATCCTGTAGTAAAGCAAAGACACAAAGCCTGTTCTATCCAAACTACTTCTCACTGATAACTTTTCTCCCCAAGTGTGGTTAATGTGGTTTGTTGAACCAGTCTCTGAAGCTGAAGGTATTTTCTGCATGATTTTTGCTAGAACTACAATGATCTTAAAAAATCAGCTTATTCTTGAATGCCTGAATTCTACCCTGCCCTAAACCAAACCCAAAAACCACTAAACCAAACTGGCTGAATAAACCCCTGAAGAGTCTATTGTGAATAGACCGTACTATTGTCTGTGAGAGGCCCAGGAGGTCTGAAGGTGCTGTGTGGAGCATGCCAGGCCTGGTTTCAGCAGTGTAGCAGTAAGGGAGCCCGTGCTGGGAATTAAGCAGATCAGTAGCCTGGAGTATTTTTTACTAGCTCAGGGCCAAGTGCATAGTTTCAACTGGATTTACGCTGTTGGCTGTCAGGGTAAGGTAGTTTCAAGTCTTAACGTAGTATTCCTGAAAAAGGACGAGGTCAAACATCCTCTCCATCTGCAATGAAGTCAGGTTGCAGACCATCAGACAAGACTGTTGTTTTATGCTATTGCATTTTCCTTGAATATCATCTCAAACTCTGTGAAAATCTCAAGTCTCAGGCCCAAGAATACATTAAGTGTATCTTTCATAGCTTCTTTAAATATCTTTAAGGCCCTCCTGCAGTTCTCGCTTTTGTGGACTTTTCTTTCGTCTCTGTAGCTTATTCCTACATGGTGAGATTCAAAGGAGATCAAGCAAATGTAATGGTTTGCAGACAAGAATAGTGAGCTGACAACCAGGAGCTGTTGGTCTAACTGAGCAATCCTCTGTATGAGGAGCCTTGCGTTGAGGAACATGAGACTTTGCATGGCCTGAAACATCCCTTTGTGGAGCGGCTGTGAGGATCAGTCCAGGTTAGCTCATGACATAAACTTAAGAGACAAAGCTTGCACGCTTCCTCTGAACTGGAATGCACTGCTGTGGAGAAAGGAGATGGCAGGAAATGTGCAAGAATAGCTGTGTGCTTAGTTCATCTCCACATACATTGGTTTTAGTTTGTCCTCGTAATGTACTGGTATTCTTCATAAGGATGTTCTGTGTCACAGCGTAGACGTGAAAATCCACTTTCTCATTAACACACGGAAATGAAGTGTGACGATCTTTTCCCTGCCAGAGACCTCCTGCAGTGCTTCCTGCACGTCAGTGTTGGTAAACATACTGTGAGGGTGTGAGTGTGTATCATGCTGATGGCACCAAGTTTTCTTTGATTTTTCCTTAACGATGGCCTTCCTGAAGCCTTAAAGTCCTTCTGGTCTTCATTTACTGGTTAGAGAGAAGCATGACGAGACTCAGTGCAAGTTCAAGACAGTAAACAGGGGCAACGATGGTGAGCGAGTTGTAGCAAGTTACGGTGTTCCTCTCCTGTGGAAGGTGAATCTCAGTCTCTCCCTGCTGCAGTGCTGGTGATGTGCCATTCTGAAGCTGGGTTTAGCGAGCAGATCGGTAAAAGGCCCACAAAGGGAGAACTCTTAATAATCATACATTCCTTGGGGAAAGCATTGACACTTCAAACACCATTCCAGGAAAGATGCACATCCCGTCCTCACAGCAGAAATGACGCCTGCATGTATCACAGACAGGGCAGAACTGGAAGATAATTTACAGTATGTTAAGAGCCAGAATGTGTGGTCAGTTGCCTTTGGATGGGATCTAGATGAGTTTCAGTAGCAAACTTAGTGCACTTATCTGCAAAGGTGGGTTTCTTTCAGTTTTACAGATCCTTAAAAACCTCTTTACCCAAGAAAACATGACATGAAATAATCCTGGCATCTCCTGGCATGCTTGTATTCGTGTGATAGTGCGCAGCGAGTATTGCCTTACTGCGCTTGTCCCTCACCTTTAAATAGATCTTCTGTCTCTGCTTAGGTGTTATTTTTTAACTGTAGAAACACATGGATATGAAGCTGTTTGACCGCGTAGCCTAAAAGACCTGTGCTGACCTGCTGTTCTTCCTCAAAAGTCCTTACTGAACCCCTGGCCCAGGAATACAGCTTGGGTTAAGAGTCTGGTTTGAAGATGTTAAAAACAGAGCGAGAGGAAAACTCCAGTGATTACAGCAAACACTTCAGAAATGAGAGATAAAAGGTCACAACTTGCCATGGAGAGAAATGCATTCTCTGGAGCGTGGTTTGTCTGCTTTTATAAACCCAAATGGAAGGTTATTTCATAACGCATCAGATTTTAAAGGATTTTCAGAAAAAAAAGAACTCGTATCTTTCTGTCTCAGGTAGCCCAGGAGCTGAGAAAGGAGGTGTTTTTGTAGTGATCAGTGCTGCTAGCTGGAGTCACAGACGCTCACTTCCAGAAGGTTTCTGGTGTCTCAGAGAACGCAGGGCTGGTGAAGTGAGGAACGCTGTCGCTCTGAACGCGCAGTGCCAGCACATCATGTTGAAAGAGCATTTTTCCAGCCGAGAGCCCTCTTCTTGCCGTGGTCTGTTCTTGCTGTCCCCCGGAGCCTGTTGTGCAGGGCACAGTGAACTGCACGATGCAGCAGATCGGTGTGCACGCATCTGAGTCGCTCCTTCGGCCACGGAGCCGTTCCGCTGTCACCGTGTTCACAGGCGCCAGGAGAGACCGTTGCTCTCCCAGTAGTTTGCAATCTAAACTGGCAAACGGGCAATGGAGATGGAGCAGCTCAGGCTCCAGTTTCTTAAAGCTGTTCAAAACTTCCCATGCTTCTTGAAAAAAGTGACTGAGTTCAAAGACACTTTTTGTGTCTTCTGATTTAATTAAAACAATGGAGCGAAGGGAAGGGAAGGCAGGAGGAGTGGTGTGAACACAGATACAGGAGTTTGGATAAACCAGCTTCTTTCAGGTTTCTGTAGCTATTCATCAACAGCAAAGGTAACCTCTCTTCTCTTTTTTTAATCTCTTGCAGGAAGTCCAAGGGAAAGCCAAATGGTAAAAAGCCAGCACCGGAAGAGAAGAAACTTTACCTCGAGCCAGAATACACAAAATCCAGAATTACCGACTTTGAATTTAAGGAGCTAGTGATGTTACCACGAGAAATAGACCTCAACGAGTGGCTCGCCAGCAACAGTGAGTACTGCGATGGTGCGGCTCTGAGCTCGCTGTGCACACCCAAGAAGGCATTCATTCACTCGGTTTCTTTTTACTGTTTCCAGTGCTTAGAAAAACACTCAGTGACTATTTGTGCTTGCTGCATAATGCCTGCCATTACACCTTGGATGGCAATTAAGCTGTCTTCTGTACAAACCAGCTGTGCTCAGCAGCATGGAAGCTTTGATGCGTTTCCTCCTTCCAACTCCCTCATTGTGGCACTGAAGGCATTAAAGTTTCTGATGCTCTTTTGAGGACCATCAGATTCCCTTTGCCTGTTTGCTAACCTGGCTGATTCAGTACGGTTCTGACTCAGACAATTGGTCTTCCAGAAGCATTGTAAAAATGGTAGTTAATTAAGACTTGTTCAGACTTGTATGAAGCACGTTGTGCTTAAAGCCAGAAGTTTTGAAGTCTTTTGGTTGGATTTCATCTCCCCACTCCTTCCAAGACTTGGTGGAATTACTGTGAGTTTAAACAGTAGTCAAGCTGGAATCCAGAGATGTGGCTGACTTCTACGGATGCTGTATCTGTGCACCTCGGTTCTGATTTACAATACTTCCCTGTGCTTCTGCTTCATCTGTCAGTCCTAACCTGTAGCTGTGACCTAGTCCTGTTTACGTTTGCAGTACGTGGGAGTAGCAAGAAACTAAACTGCACACTAGGAAAGTTTATGGAGAATCATTGACTCATTAAAAATGTGAGGTGCCCCCTGAGGAGTGTTAAGATGTTAAAATTCTCAGGAGGTTTTTAAAAAGCAGAAGTGCACCAGTTTTCATGCTGTTTGGGGTTTTTTTTTAAAGAGATGTGGCATGAGAACGATCAGTGCTGTTTTCTAGCTACTCTATGTTTTAAGTCTGACTTCAAAAGAATGCAGCAAATGGTTTGCCTTCAGCTTGCAGTGGAGTATTCTACTGTGAAGGTGAGGCTGATGACGGAGACAGTTTCCAGTCTTGCTGCTTAGTGAGTAATAAGAGCTGATGCATCATGCTGCTTTCATCTTAAATCAAAACAAGAGCTTTCATCCGATGTACCTCTCTGTTTTGCAGTTCATCATTAGACTAATTTAGCTAAATCATGTTTAAATTTGTATGCAAGCTTAAGACTCTGAGTCACTTCACTTGCTCTATTTACATACTTGTCTGGAGGATCACCTGTGTTTGAAAGTATTTTACCTCTGAATTTCTTTCCTTTGTGTTTATTTTTCAGCCACAACTTTCTTTCATCACATCAACTTACAGTATAGTACAATCTCAGAATTCTGTACAGGAGAGTCATGTCAGACCATGGCAGTGTGCAATACGTAAGTCGATATTTACAATTACAGGGTTTCCGTGAAGTCTTCGGAACTGCCTGGGGGAGGATTTCGGTGCTGGATGGCATTGGGCAGGTGTTGTACAGCAGATCTCTACTTAGGGAGAATGTGACAGCCGTCCATCCTCTTCCCTCCCATCAGCAGTGAAGGGTGGTGGAAGTGTGATTTTTGTGGAGCACTAGAGGGATGACAGTTCTGGACTGTTCGGAGCTGGTTTTATAAGGTCAAATCAGAGAGGCAAATTACCACGTGGGGAGCTTGCAGGGAGAGGGGAAGGCAAAGGCAAAACTGTTGTTACTGGTTACTGGTAACAGTGCTGGGGAGGATAAACAAACTGTGAAAACCTCGGGGGGTGCTTTTGATAGCTGGAATGCTGACAGTCCCAGGCTGCTGAGGGATAACCTCTAGCCTGATGTGAGCTGCTGGCTTTCTGCCCAAGGCCTGGGCACAGAGGACACCAGTGGCAGCTTCGCAAAGAGTACGGAAAACGGTGTTGGTTTGGCACTTTCCCGCTGTAGGACTTGGTGCACTTTTTTAACATTGACTGGGTGCCACTTACGAAAGAAAACTGTACTTTTACTGTACGTAGTGAATGTAAGAGAAACTTATCATAAACTCCTGCTCTTGATTAGCACAGTCCAACATGATGGAATATGAGAGCCAGTTGAGTGTGAATAAGCCTGTTGTGTTGTGGGTTTTCTCCCTTCAGCACATGTTGTCCTTTTCTTCCCTCTTCTTGCATTGCCTGGGATGGATTGGGATGGGTTTTAAAGCAGAAGACTGAGCAGTTAATGTTCTAGCACATCAAACAAACGTCCCAGGGAATGTATGCATCAAAACCAGAGCTCTGTGTTGTATCTGACAATAATTACGTAGTGCTTAGAAAGGAATTCTTGCTTAATGTACTGGGCTGTCTTGTACACTTGGAATTAATATCAGGGGCTTCCTTTGAGAGCACTCTGAAGAATGCAGTGTGTACAGAGGGTATTTTTGCATGTAAAAAAGTTGGAAAGATAACTGTCAGTAGAGAATTAAAGGCCATGCTAGGGCCTTTGAAAGCCAGCTGGAACAGAAAGTAATACATCTCTGCTGGGGCCAGATTTTATCAAAAGGAGACAGCGTGTCTCTAAATGAGAAATTGGGATCAGTAAGATGAGTATTTTGTTGACTCTTGCTCTCAGGCGCTCTCGTGTTGTAATTCCTGATGTAGTACTGCCTCTCCAAAGGACCGAGTTTAACTGTTTATCCACTTAGCTGATGGGAAATAGTGGCGAAAAGGAGGTGGTTGTAGGGAACCTATGTAAAGTGTCACTCCATTCTGGTCTGGTGAGTCTTCGACAAGAGTTCTCCGTGAGCGGTTTATGCTGTAGAATAAAGAAAGGAAGTGCCTTTAGGCGGCTCCAGCTGTAGTCTATATTTTTAGTGGTGAGGACTGATAGCAGAATGTTCCTGTCCTTTGTTTTGGAAAACTGAAAAGTTGCGCTATTTGGGAATAACAGGAAGCATGTCTGCACTTGGGTGAAGCACTTGAAAAGGTTTGTGTTGAGCTAAACCATAACAACTGAAGTATCTTCCTGGACCTGGAGGCAGACGACTGATTCATGTTTGCAAACTGTAGGCTGCGTGTTTCATTCTTCTATCAGGTGTGTGGGTCTATGGAAAAACCACAGAGGTGAGGTCGCCCAGCGACACACCTCACTGCAGTTCAGCTTTGAAGGCCACGTTCATAACTATGTTCTCCAAATATCTGTAACGACAATTTTGGATAATCCTCATCTTTATGTTCTGCCTTTCCTAGCTCTTCCCATTTGGAAGAGATATGCCTCAATGGAACACGGAGAACTGCCTCAAAGATGCTGAATTTTTCATATCCAGTTATAGCTATGACAAAGCCGTATGTCACTTCCCCGCCCCCCCTTGCCCCCTTTCTTTTAGTCTTACCCTAACTAAGGAAAGGACGTGCTTATTGTGTTGGAAAACCACCAGCTGATAGGATTTGTTGTGCCTCTGACCTGTCTCCAGCGTATGAGGAGTACCACCTAAACGTTAGAGTCAGTTGCTGATTAACCTGACAGACACTCCAGATTTGACCTTCCGTGGCCGTGATCTGTTTGTTCAGCTGCTTTGGAATAAAATAGCATTTACCCAAATTAGATTCCCACAGCATTACAGCACCTTAGAATAAGGGTGCAGGTTCCCATTTTTCTGTGCTGATTTCTTAGGCAGTTCAGTCTGAAGGTCTGCATTCTCTAAGGCACGTTTTGGATCGCACCATTTCTGTCATAGCTGAGGAAGGCCGTACCTTCTGGTGTTTGTGGTTGGGATATTGAGGTAACTGTTGAGAACGGGTTGTTTGTCAAGTTGCTTTGCATTCGAGTACACTGCAAATACTCAGTCCTCAGTTTAGAGGATTTGCTGGCACAATAAACCCCAGTCGCAGTTAAATATTTGAGGTAAGGTTTTACCATCTCGGGAAGCTCCAGCCAGCTGACAGACTGCAGACACATGCAGCTTTCAGCTCTGTGTCAGATATCTGAGATAGCGCAGCCATACGCACACAATGAGGGAGAGCATTTCTGCTTGGGGTCACTAAGGGACATCTGACCAAAACTTAAGTCTCTGTAAAACAGATGGAAGCATTTGCTGGCAAGGTGGGATAATGCCAAGAGAAATACCAGAATGGCCACCTATCGTCAAAATTTAATGAGGATGGCATGAACATAACTTCGGGAATTACTTGATTTTGGTCACTAACATGTTCATCACTTGCTGTAAAGCAAGTACTCTATTTTTAACACAGTATTTACTATTTATCTTTAGTATGGTTTATAGCTTCTTATTACACAAACTGGCTTTAAAGCACCATGAGCTGTAAACTGGTTTTCTAGCTGCCGTTTGGACAAAACTTCTCAAAGGTGCTGAAGTGAGTGCAGTAACTAAAAGCCTATCTGTAAAGTGCTGTACATGATGCTGAGATTACAGGACTCCTGAGGCAGAAATCAGGGATGGATGCAAACTCCTAGGCAGCCCACAGACAAGAGTGAAAGGTCTCATTTTGGTCCAAGGAAAACTTTTAATTGATCATTCATTTTTTCTAACTTACAGTCTCCTTTCTCATGTTTACCTTGCCCTTAGTGTCTCTGCATATGGAGGGTGTTTCCTTCTAGACATCTTAATTCAAACTTCAGTGTTTTGCATTTTCTTATATTTAAGGTCCCTGAGCTGTATGCTTCTGCATAGTTGCTCCTTTTTTTTTTTCTCCCCATCTAAATGTTGCTTTTCCCCTATCAAAGCTATTCCAAGCTGCTGAAGAGCACAATATTACTGCCTCTGCACTGGATACAATTTGCCATCCTGCTTTCTTCATCACCCGTCTTTTGGTATTTCTAGCAGGACTGTCTCTCCTTCCTTTCTAGACCACGTACTCTTCACAGCATTTGTCTTTCCCTCCTTTCAGAAGCTTTACTTATCTACTGGTGCAGCTTCTGTTCTGCCTTGGCTTCTGTGTCATCAACACAAACCCAGAATGTTTTAAAGGGATAAAATACGTACGTGGATTAAGATACAGCACTGTGATTTCATTCATATGTGTTATACTTTACTATTTGCATCTTAGGCTTTTCTCTGTTAAATCCATAGTCGTTTCTCTCTGGGCTTTAGAATGGAGCTTCAAATTCCTTGTGCTCTCCATACAGGCACACGTTGTATCTGCCAGAGTTTTACATAGGAAATCACAGAATCTCAGGAGTTGGAAGGGACCTCGAAAGCTCATCCAGTCCAATCCCTGCCAGAGCAGGATCACCAGACCAGGTCACACAGGAACACGTCCAGGCGGGCTTTGAATGTCTGCAGAGAAGGAGACTCCACAACCTCTCTGGGCAGCCTGGGCCATGCTCTGGCACCCTCACAGTGAAAAAGTTTTTCCTTATGTTCAGGTTGAACCTCCTATGCTCCAGCTTGCTCCCATTGCCCCTTGTCCTGTCATTGGACATCACTGAGCAGAGCCTGGCTCCTTCCTTCTGACCCTCACCCTTTACGAATTTATAACCATGAATGAGGTCTCCCCTCAGTCTCCTCTGCTCCAAGCTAAAGAGACCCAGCTCCCTCAGCTGCTCCTCAATAAGGGAGATGCTCCACTCCCTCCATCATCTCTGTGGCTTTGCTGGACTCTTTCAAGCAGTTCCTGTTCTTGTAATAATCAAATCTACATCCTGTGAGCACTTTCTGGAAAGTTCCTGTAAGTGTTGTTGTCTTTTCCTTTCTGCTTCCCGTCCCTTGCCTGACATTGGCCTGTGCTGTCACTGTGCCAGCGGTGGAATGCAGTTGGGCTTCTGTGCCCAGCTGAGCCCTTCAGTGGCCCCAGCCTGCGTCCTGTCGTGTCCATGCAGATACCTCCAGCATGGCTGGGACCTGCGTACCAGGTGTTGGATGTTCATGGCATGGCAGGGCCTCTTCTTTTCCTCCAAGACCTGTGAAGACTGTTCACAGCACTTGATTAGAATCATGTGTCTTCCTCATGTTTCAAGAACAATCCTTATTATTTACCCCCTTACTCTTAATGATTCTTCTTTTAAATACCTATTTTGCATAATTAGGCTGATTTTCAAAGAAAGGCAAAAAGGGTGTGCAGTGGGATGTTACAGCAGATTTATTCACTCATATTTTCATGTACGTGAACTTGTACAGTTGCCAGACTGTTTCTTTTAACTAAGATCCAATTATTCAGATTCATTTTTGCACCTAAGGGCAACTTTAAACTGTGCTTTCTATCTTGCAGCTGGGGATTTCGGCAGCATGAGAAAACTGCTGAGGTACAGACAGCCCTGCCTGCTTCTGCTCTTGGCAACAAGCACTGTCTTAAGACCCCAAATAAGTCCGAGTTGCGCTGAACTGTCTTGTTCTGGCTTACTGCAGGACTGGACAAATGAGGTGGCCTGTGTTTGTGCACTGCCTTGTATCATTCCTTGTATGTGGACTGTAGAAAGGAAGGAAGCGGTGATGAAGAACACGCTCTACACCAAATGCTGCTTTTGATGCCTGACATAGCTCTACAAAAAGCTTTTAACTCCTGCTCGATTCATCCACTTGCCCACCTTTTTATGCCCTTTTGTAGTCAGTCCTGCTCTCTCGAGTAAACAACAGTGACCAAGCCCCACACGCTGAGAATGAGCTGAGGGAAACGTTCCAAACCTGAAGTGTCTGCAGAACTAGTTTACAGTTGCCCTTCCTTGCTTAAGGTTTGTGCTGCTCTACTCATTCCTGCAGTTGCCTCTTGTTTTCGTATGGCTTGGGGCATGAACACTGTCTTCACCTCATTGCCCTTTTGTCTCTGAAGAATCTTCCCAGCCAATGAAAACACATAGTAAATTAAAACTTTTCATTTGCTACTTAACAGGGGTTTTTTTAGTTGCTTCAGGAGTGTTCTGCTGGTCAGTATACCTAAAACTTCACTTTCCAAGTGGCATGTATATATCCTTCCAGTTCAATGCGGTCTAGCCCTGTTAAATGCAGGAAAAACATTTAATCTTTATCTTCCATTAAAAAAAGGTGTCCAAAGGTGGCTAAACGTCACACTGAGGTGATATTCTGCCTAGGGCTACGATGGGGCTTGTCTAGTGATTTGTGTGAGCAATGTCAGATAGCAGACCAGCCGACAGCAGCAGAGTTGGAGCTGAACAAACAGGCAGAAATGGTACCCTGGCTCTGTGGGCTCTTGTGCTGGGTCAGGTGTCTTTCTGGCCAGGTTCTGATGCTCAGACCACTTTCAGCCTTCCTTCCAAGGGCAGTCAGCAAAACCCCACCTATGCTGTGTCCTGAGAGGTCCAGTACAGTGGATTTCTTATCAGTCCTGTGATACAGGACTGCGCCTGGAGCTTAGTCTGTTTGAAGAAAGAGCTGGAACTCGAGACACCTCTAGTGTGACATAGGCAAAAATCCAAAAGGTGTTTTGCCAAATTCCTTATCTGTAAAACATTTCTCACTGTGTATACCTAATGCGATGGATAGCTGCTCCTAGTAACAATTAGAGGTGCTTTAATTAACTATGATTTAAAGAAAAAAATAAAAGGAACAAACTTTCAGTGCTTTTGTAGCCTTCAGATGCTCTTTTAGGTGAGGGATGGCTGCAGTTAATCAAGAAGGTTATGGCTAAGTGATTGAATGATGGTTGCTTTTGAAGAACCAGGCAATACGCCAGTGTCTCCTGTTCCTTACAGTCCAACAGGATTATTCACTGGTGGCAGAGTCAGATGGAAGTTCAGATGTTTTGGGGAGTGTGTAACCAGAGGAGCAGAGTTTGGCATACTGGTAGGGATGTGCAGAAGGACCCTGAAAACTTTCCCCAGATTGGATTTTGGAGCAGGATTTGTAGCTTAAAAATACTGCCAGTACGTCAGAGCACCAGCTTGGAGAAGGTGGTGTTTTGGAGCCACCTTGTGTCTGTTTAGTTCTAGTGCACTACATGACTACCTCATAAGAAGATCACTGTGCATCACTGTGCAGTGTAGTTATCCTTTCAAAAGTTGTACAACACTTTTCTGTACAGTTCTGTAGACTGTCAGTAACCCCGCAGTCTGTCATGGATAGGGGGTTAGCACTGCCTCGGTAGAGCTCCCCTCCCTGGGGACTTGTCAGCAGGCTCTCTGTGCTGCTGCTGAATTGACAGGGAGAAACACACCTGGCTAACAGAAATTCAAGGTTTTTGAGGTAGAAAGTTACCTTGAAATGAATCTCTTGTGTAGCAGCTACGATGTATTTTGGTAATGTTGAAGCTGTTGTTTTACATTATTTAGACGCTCACCCCTTAGAGGCGAGCTGAGAAGCCAAAGTACAATGTGGTGACGCCGTCCATTCTCTCCACAGACAGTACTACTGGTATGACGAGCGGGGAAAGAAGATCAAGTGCACTGCTCCGCAGTACGTCGACTTCGTCATGAGTTCAGTGCAGAAACTAGTGACAGACGAGGATGTCTTTCCCACAAAATACGGTACGTCTGCTGTGGGACAGGTGCTTCCTGCAGCTCTGTGCAGATGCCACGAGTAAGGTGAAAGTTGCCATTCAGCATGTTTTGTTTTAGTACCGGGCAGCTTTCTCACTTGGTTGGTTGATGCTTAGGGTTTTTTTAAGGGAGATGTTAAGTTTGACTCATTCTTGCAGTAAGAAGAACATGCACTGCTGGCATATGAACTGGGGTGAAGGACTCACAGCCCTGCCCCCTTGGGCGTACATTTCATCATCCCGTACATCTTTTTCTTCCACACGTTGAGATCTTCTAGCCTGGATTCAGAGGGGATAAAAATTGAAAACTGGCAGCAGGTTTGTGTTCGATACAGCCTGCTGCTAGTAAAATTTAACCTTCTTGTTGCTTTGCTATTTCATTTAGAGCCCCAGTGCGTTAAGGGGGAAATAAATTGGATTGCCAGGAATGGGGCTTGTCTCACAGACAGTTTGCAGTCTCCCTTCCAAAGATTAAATAAGAATGTGATTTAGGAATGGAAAAGCAATAGGAAAGTTATTTTACCTCCAATTTGTATCCTAACAAGATCGCTACATGCAATGCCTTGGATTAAGGGGAAAAAATACAGACCTGAAGCTATTGTAGGTGAGCTTAATCAGGACTAAAAGCAGCTGGCTTCTTGAGCCCCTTCAGCAGATAATTGGGGAACGAGGACTTTACGCTATAGCAAACGTTAAGCCGGCAGCCTTTGCTTACGAGCATCTTGATCTGGAGAGGGGCAGCGAGACAGTGCTCAGTACAGTCACCTGCAGGTCAGTTTTAATTTTTCTAACGTGCTTGTTCAAGGGCAGTGAGGGCCTTTCCTGCAAGGGATTTGTCTGTGTGGCCAAGGTGCACTTTAGACCAGTGTGCATCACACACAGCATGGCAAGTGTTGCTCTTTTGCTTGCCTCCGTTTCCCTCTCAGCGTCACCTCAGTAATTGTCCAGTAATCATCTGTTACTGCTCCAGGAAGCACAATTTCAGCTGCATGTGGCAAGAGGCATCCAGTATTTCCTTCCATTTCTTTTCCCATTTGATAGGATTTCAGTAGTGAAATGAGGGAAGCCATTGTATGCAGGTAGTCAAACTGCTGCACGCTACCAAGCCGTGTACCTTAGCTTCCATTTCAGAATCTGTGAATTGGTCTCCCAAGCATTATGGACTTCAAAGTGGATAAGGACCCAGAAGAACCTCCTGTTATTTTTACAGCTAGTAACAAAAAATGTTGTGGTTTTAAAGAATGATTACACTTGCTTCCTGATTTTTGAACCCTTGTGGTTTAAAACTTAACTTCAAATGAAAATGTTTAAAACCTCCTTAGATTCTTCCCCTGAATTCCTGTAAAAAAAACCCAAACAGATGAGAGGATGATGCAGGGCCCTCACATTCTCTGCTGTATAAGGTGGGCTGGTTGCTCTTACCTGCAGCTCAGCCCAAACAAATGGTGCTGTGGGGCTGAAGGGGAGCAGCTGGAGCTTTCATGGTGTTTCTCTGTCTTCCTTCCAGGCAAGGAATTCCCAAACTCATTTGAGTCCCTAGTGAAGAAGATCTGCAAGTACCTGTTCCATGTGCTGGCCCATATCTACTCCTCACACTTTAAGGAGACTTTGGCACTGGAGCTGCACGGACATTTAAACACGCTCTACACACACTTTATCCTATTTGTCAGGGAGTTCAACCTCGTGGACCCTAAAGAGACCACCATCATGGACGACCTCACAGAGGTCCTCTGCAGCAGCAGTGGCAGCAACAGTAACGGGAGCGGCAACGGGAGCAGCAACAGCGCAGCAGCACAGAACCACGTGAAAGAGAGATGAGCCCTCCCACAGCATCCAGACTAACCCTACAAATATATTCTGTGTGTATGTGTATGTATATGTTCAGATATGCATACAGACATATACAGCAATGAAAGCTGAGTTATGCTGCCACCACAGGACACGTAGTCGTACGGGACTGTATGGAGCTTTGGTTTAATGCGCCACCTGGCCGGAAGTTGCACCAATTTTATTTTATTTTCTGTCCACTCCTCCTTTTACCTATTCAGATGGATGACGAGTGCTGTTTTTAGAGAAGAGCCAAGCTTGAGAGCAGGGCCGCTCTTGGTTTTTTTGATTGGTTTTTTGTTTGGTTGGTTGGTTTTTTTTTGTTTTTCTTTCTTTGGTCCTGAGTGCAAGCCCTTTGTCTTTCTAGGATGGTGGTCCTGCCATTTAAAAATATCTATTATATTATAAGAAATGACTTTTACTTTGAAGTGGCTTAAAATGCAGGTTTGTTTGGGTTTGGTTTTTTTGGGGGGTGGGGGTGGTTTTTTGGTTTGGTTTTACATAGACTGCCCCTTACCCTGCCACAAACTGCCCAGTTGAGCGCATCTTGCTCTTTGTTAGCTTGGAATGGGAAGAAACTCCTGGCTTGACTAGAGTAGCAACTAGGGGCTTGCTACATGTTGAAAGTGGGCACGATTCTCCAGTTGTCCCATCTACCTGGTCACAACACGTGAACATGCAAGAAGATCCACAAGCCTTTTTGCTTATTGCCTCTACAACATATATAGTCTTTTTTTCTCTGCTGCCCTGGCTTCCTCCTTTCCCAGGCACACCTCTACAGATAAAAAGGGTGAGATCACTGGAGTTCAAAACCCACGTGAAAAGGCACCACCGTTTGCTTCCCATTGAACAGAGGCCCCGGGGAGGGGGGAGAAGGGTACATTGAGTCAGTCACCGCCTGTGCTAGAAAGATGGCTGTTGGCATAAAAGTATACTGTTGGCTTATTTTAGTTCATCTGTTCTATAATAATAAATACAAATCTATCAGCCATAAGCTCTGGTTTTGTGTTTGCAGCGTCAAAAGTCTGTGGAATTCATCCATACAGCTTTCCTTTCACCGCTGAATACTGTTGGCCCTGCTGTCAGCCAGCTTTATAAATATTTGTTTGTCTTCCACCCTGTAACCTTACATTGGTAATCAACTCCTTGCTCTTTCTGGTCATGCTGGGAACCTCCTCCCCAGGTAATCTGAAGATAAGCACTGCAAAGATATGCAGCGCTTGGAAAGGTGCAAGTTTCCTGTTTGTACATTCTTAAATTCTGCAGAGGCTTCAGGATACTTTGTGGCAAATACTGCATGGTGATGTCTGTGGCTAGGGCTTGTATCAGTATTGTATCTGGGCAGTGGTATTGCTCTTCCTTCCTATTTCTACTGAATTCTTGCAGTCATTTCCAATGGGAAAATGCCAACTTTTGCTTGCAATTGTGCTTCTACCAAACCTGTGTCAGCCTCTGACAATTGTTTGTGACTGTTACTGGTTATTATCCTGAGGTATATACATCATAGGAACTGACCTGGCGTGAGTCCTGGACGGTTTTTCTGAATGAGGTCTGTAACTGTAGTAGAAGTCAGCAGAGAGAAGAAAAGGAGAGCAAGTGCAAAGAAAAAAGGAAAAGCACAAGCAAGTAGAAAGAAAAAAGCAGGAGGGGAAAAAGAGAAAAAGCACATGCAAAAAAAAGGCTTGTGAAAAAGTGTGCAAGAGCAACAACAGATAAAGGAAGAAAAATGTGCAAGTGAGAAAAGGAGCAGGAAGTCATAAAAGTGAGGAAAACAGAGCAAAAAGGCAGGAGCACATGAGCAGGAAGAGGAGTGAGCGAGAGAAAGTGACCTCAAACTTTGTGAGCCCAGACTCGTCCTGTGTTTTTTGTTTCCAGACTGTGGGTACCTTGTGAACCTGCAGGCACAAGTGCTGGAGCCTGGCTGACCTGCTCCGCTGGGTGCTGTTCACACAGGCTGTTCCCTGCCATGTCCTCCTGCTGCAGCGTCCACATCCAGATGAATATTCTGAGTCAGGCTCTGTTCACACCCTTTCCATCACAATTCCCTACATGAATGTCTGGAGGGAAAAACAGAGCTCAGCAGAAGCTCTCAGACCAGTGCTGTTTGTAAGGCACCTGTGCTACTTGCAATGAGAGCGTACGGTACAGTTTAAGGTAAGAAAATAATAGTAAGGACAACAACCCAAACTCAGGCATTTCTGGAAATTTATTATCTACTTGTAAACAAATGCATTTCCAGTCTTAATTCTGAAAGACCGTTTAGAAATGATTCACATTTGGGAAAGGTTTGACTTGAACAAGAGGCAGTTCAGCTCTCTCTGGAAAGACTGATTTATCTGCTACTCTTCAAGTTTCAGATCACAGCACAGTGATATCCATACCAAATCCAAGGGTGACTATACCTTCGCTTCCCATAGGAGACCTGACAGAACCCCAGGGGAAGTCTGGGAACCCATGCATTGTTGCAAAGCAGCAAATCATTAATTCAGCTACTGGGAGAACAGTGGAGCACCCCAGTACCTCCCAAAGAGCCGGCCGTTGTTCATGGCAGCTGTCCCAGGCTTGCTCTGTAGACATTTGATATTCTTGAAACCACAGACCCTTCATCTAGCAGGGTAATCTTTTTATATTTTACAAACAGTTAACAACACCACAAATAATGAATCCTATTTGAGTGTAACCTATCTTGTTAGTTTTAGCAGTGGGAATAAGGAAACCACTGAAATTAGAGTTGTCAGGAGTAAATGTTACTGCAAAGTTCAGTCTCGCATTGTTCAAGTGTATTTCAGAGGTTACTGAATCATGCTGTAGTAACATCAGATACAGAAGTGCCACCAAGTCTTCAAACTCTGCTGGGCAGACATCACTAAAGCCTATCAGTGCCCTTCGATGCTTGCAGCGTGTCGCTGACTGTCCACACTGTAAGCACTGAGCCTGAATCCCCCTGGATCTTGAAGACAGGCTTAGGTCTTCCAACACTGAGGCAGTTGTCATATTGCTGCTTTGAATGTGTTTTGTAAACTGTTCAAAGTGCTGGCAGAACAAGAGAGGCACCTTAGTTATGGTACATTCAGTGCCCCCCCACTTCCTCCCCACCCATCTTGTCCTGAAGATCGTGAGGTACCACACCATTGTTTGAGAGTTGCTAAATCTATAAACCAAAAACCACACAACACCCTCCTCAGCATACGTGCCTTTTGAAGGCCTTGCCTTTGCAGACTCTCAGCTTTACATCTGCCATTGCAGAATCCCTAAACCACTTTCAGGCCTAAAACCATGGCAATGAGCACAAGCTGTCACAGGGCTGAAGTCTGTCCCTTAAAACCAGCAACAGTCATCATATGTGTGTTTTGTGGTATTGTGTTCCTGCCATGTGGTGCTCTGGACACGACTGAACGTTCTGAACAGCTCAGGTTACATAAATTTATAGCAATGATGTAAAATGTTATAGCAACCTGAAACTCCCCCCCACTCCATTTTATCATTATTAAATCTTTGAGGCTGCAATGTCCTTAGGAAATCCAAGCGTAAGCATCCATAAATAGAAACAGGAGGGAAATAATTTCTTCACATGTCATCCAGAATAAATACCAGCAGTAGGTAAGGAAGCACCAAGGTCAGCAGCTGGTGTTGATCACATGGGCTATCTCTGGCCATTTCTGGGCAGGGGACACAGGAACAGTGCCACCAAGTCTGAGGAACACAGAAACAGCCGCCTTTAGCTTTGACCTCAAGGCAAGAAGCTGTGTAGATAGCACAGGATCAGCTTCGCCCCAACGCTAAGAAAGGTCCCGAAGTGGCAAGCTGTAAAGCAAGTCAGACGTCTTCTACATCAGCCCAGTAAAGTTCAAGCTACGCCCTTCTTTCTTGCCTAAGAACTGCAGAAATTTAGCAAGTCTGAGAACCCACAGAGCACACTCATTTTATACACGAATAACAACCTTTTAAGCAAGAATTTTAAGAAAATCAACCTCGCTTCTTATGGAGCACTTCTATGATGAGCAGTTTTGAGGAAGGCAAAAGCTGTGTTCTGGCTCTGAAATACCACCCGTTCTGGCCAAACGTGCACATTCCAGGGTGCTCCTGGAACGATCGGGGCTAAAGGTGGATGCTGTCAGGTAACGATCAGCTCCTGCACATGAGCAGAAGACTAAAAGACTGCCACAAAAACAAGCCATCTCACAACAGAACAAGCCAACTTTATGAGCACTTACTAAGTATGCTGATCTCATACAAAGCTACGCTCGGCAAACAAGTCCTTACATCTGTCATGTAACGTGTCCCAGCCAATCCTTAGGTCACCATTTCAGCTGTTCACAGAAAGACTCCAATACATACTCCATTATTTAAGCTGAGGACAGAGGAATAGGTTGTTTTATTCTGTTCAAACCTACTAAACAAATGAAACCAATGTTTGTGTCTGTAGCCCAAGTGGCAATACCAGGCAGTTTGAATGTACTCCTAATGCCCGGGTGCTGGCAGTAGTTAAAGCACAGAGTTCAGTATGGCCAAGTTATCCATGCTGCTGTGGCAATACTACTGCCTGAACACAAGCTCATACCTAAAGGATTTAAAGACCAATCTGGTATCTTTACATGATACAGCTGTATGCAGTATGAACAAATCCCAATATTTCCAATGGAACTGATGATATAAAGTGGGAAAAACACCAAACAGCTGGCAAAAAAAATCCCTCAGTGTGCTAATGGGATCTCCATTTTTTCAAGGACAGAAGAACTGTTCTGGTTGTGACAGCTGACGTGAACAATAAGACTTTTCAAAGCTACATTAACATGTGACTGACTTAGAAAACAGAAATTGTTGTGGCCAAGCACTCAGATGAGAGAACATTCAGAGAGCTTTGTCTAGCCAAATAAAAAGAAAAAAGGGGAAAAAAAGAAGGACTAGCCTCACTTCTCTGTGTGTCTTCATCTCCTAATGCTTTCTGCTAATTCTTTTCATTAAAGCTAAAAAAGAAAAGAGGGATTCAAATACTCCAATGCTTTCCTATACGCCAGTGCAGAGATTTAACATTCTCACAACGTGGTGCAAGGTCCCTTACCTAAACCAACTCGTCCTTTTAACAGTTCCTGGAATAATTCAAAAGAAAGGATACAAAGAGCCTGGGCTAGACAGCTTTTCTACTCAGTGGCGAGCAACCCTCTGCAACATCAGCTCAGATACAGAGAGGTCAAATGCCATCCCACCAAGGACTTTGGCTTCTGTGAACCCACTGCTTCACCTGACATCAGTACGGCTTAGAAGACAGCTGCCCCAAAGCAAGTACTGCCCTCAAGGACTGCAAAAGGAAACCTAAACAAGGAGAGTGACCTGGTCCATGGCACCAGTCACTAATTTAACCACCACACTGAACCAATGAAATGGTCTGGCGTTCCCCCAGAAGGGCTTTAATGCAGGTGTACAAGGACTTAAAGGTGAATGTCAGTCTGATAAAGAAGAAAGGCTGCACAGCTCTCCAGTACTGAATACTCATCAGAGCCTGTAAGCTGCTGGAGGCCCCCTCTGCTGCATTCTGCATGAACTGAATTCCTCTAGGAAAGATTTATACTTGAAAGCCCTATCGTCAAGCAGATGAGATTTCCTAAATTACTTTTTTTTTGCCCCCTCTTAGCTGCACTTGGCCAAGAGTCAAGCACAAAAACCTGACTTCCATAGAGTTCATTCCCGAAATCATCTCCAGGACTATTCTTTGCGATCCTAAGAATCAAAGTTTGTGGAGTAGTTTGGGTAGAAGAGGTAGCTCTGTCATATAAAGTTTGACAGTGAAATAGCTTTTAATACAGAAATTGATCCCAATTCTCTGTCTTGGCCAACCAGGGGTTTTTGTTCAGTTTTACTGCAAGCTAATGCTAGACTTTTTACTGTCTCCATCATGACAGAATGCAAGGAGGCAGACAGTTCTTGGATGACTATAAGGGATAATTTTACTTTGGAAGGTTGAAATATATGGATTTTTAAAGTATTCTGTAACAT